CAAATTAGAACACAAGAAGTTCCACCTAAACGTATGGAAAGACTTCTGTACTGTGTGGGTGACAGAGCACTGAACAGGATGCCCAGAGAGGCTGTGGAGTGTCCCTCTCTGGAGACTTTCAAAACCCACCTGGATGCATTCCTGTGCAACCTGCTCCAGGTGAACCTGCTCTGGCAGGGGAATTGGACTATGTAATCTCCAGAGGTCCCTTCCAGCCCCTACTGTTCTGTAATTCTGTAAATCATGCTTGTGTTTCTAAACATTAGTAGAATCTAAAGCTAGACACAGCACTGTTATCCAATTAAGGAAGAGTGAAACTACTGATGAGCAATTAAATTTCTGTGATTGCAGAAGTCTTAAGACCTCCCCCTTTCCTCTGTTGTTTTCCTTTCATTCTGTTAGTAATAAAGACTAGAGAGTTGAGTTGATCCATCATCAGGTCATCACACATAGATTGACATTTCACTGACTGAAGTTTATGCTTAATTCATCATTAGGAAGCACTCATATGCCAGGTTTCAGTGTACTTCTTCATACTGCACTGTTTTAAAACTACAAAGAGGGTGCTGTGACCAGAAGAAGTGCCCTCAAGGGAAGGGCTGTCACTCTGCCTGAGCATATTTCTCTCCAACATACCTCTTCCTCCAAAAATTCTCTGCGCATACTTAACGCTCGACACTTTTGTGATCCTCCATGAAAACAAGAATGAGCAGTGAATTAACTCTGCTGAAAATTCTGCCTGAAAGCAAACCATGAGCAGCATGTCCTGCTTTGCCTGAATCCTCCCCTCACAAACTGTAGTCTTGTAGTGTCCCTCAGGAGTAGCAGTGGGAAAACAGCTCTTAAAATTACATGCAACTGAGGCAACCTCTAATAAACAGATTATTATAAAGTTTACTTATCCAATATGACAATCTCATACTTCTTAATGGTATCTCAAAGTCTCATTCTTCTCTGTAGATGAACAGACATTATTATGGGCTCTACTAAAACTGCTGGTTTCCAGGCATCAGTGACTCACCACTTCAGCTCCTCCTGCATAGCCTCTTCTTCCAGCACACCATGATCAGAGTGAGAACTAAGACAATTAAAATCCCCACAGTAATCACCAGCCAAAGCAACGAGGATCCCTCTTCTGTGAAAACAAAACAACAAAAATACTAAGCTAGTTTATATAGGAAAAAGATTAAAAGGAGCCAAGAGGATGTCTGATTAATGACAATGGTTCCTCATTGAGATTGTGAAAGTTATTGCTAAGCTACATGAAAGTATCAATTGCTCAAAAGAGAGTGTGAACGTGTTTATCTTCAAAGACAAACCTAACTGCCTACAGAAAGTGTTTTGTAAAGAAAAGATGTGCTCATGTTCAACCATGGCAAAGAGAACCTTCATTCCATACCTGATACGGTAGCTGGCATGCATACACACCTTCACAGAAGTCCTGATACTTTCTGAAGAGGTCTTTTGTTCATTCGGAATTTGAGGGGTTTGTTTGTAAAATAAAGTAATTCCTTTTCCTGTTAAACATTCACCACTGCTGCAAAGGCTAAATAAACTTTCAGAAGAGAAGACAGACTATGTTTTGGTGCTTTCTAGTAGGTCTACTCGACATTCGAGTATAAATATCCCACCCTGTTTTCCTACTTCATTAGACTGCTATTAACGAAAATAATACAGAGAGTCATCTCAGTGCTCACTGATGTTAGCTAGAAAGCTTTCTGAATTAAAATTTATTTTAATTAAGCCAAAAATATACTGTCTTTTAACAAAGCTAGGCTGAACTATCAAATTGATTTTATCTTTCTCTGAAATTGTTAAAACAAGCTATTAGCTGACTTTTCACTCTCCAGCAAGGAATAACAACAGTCTTAGTTTCTGGCTTTTGAGACACCCACTTCCTTTTTAGAAGTCCAAAATGACCAAATATTGCATTTCAGAGAGTACAAAAAGAATTGTTATGCTTTTTCAATTAGTGTCACTCAGAATTAAGGACCAATTTGCTTTTGAAGTTTTAGAGAGATAATATTGAAAGTCAAATCTTGCTCTTCACTAATATTCCTACAACAATCACTTGTCAAGCCTATAACTTGGGAATCAACACACAACCTCAGGATGCTTTTCCTGTCTTCCTAACTTCCAAGTGGACTTCCTTTTAAGGCTCTGGATTTGGAGACACACAAGTTTTAAATGACTTAAGTCAATGCTCCTGTGTGAACTGAGAGTGACAAATCAGCTTTTAATGTTTCTATTTCTCATCTACAGAAATGGAGCGAAAGTCTTTCCAGCAGAATAGAACACTGGAAGAAGAAATAAATCATCACTATAAGGTATTCAGAGGTTACATTGATGCAGTCAAGATTTCCCCATAAGTCCAATGTAAGTACCTTCCACTCATCACCTGCCCATCTGCCTGAAATGACCGTTCCTCCCTCAGCCCTACCGCGCTGCATACGCATCTTCGCAAAAACGGCAGAGAGACTACAACACGGAAATCACAGAATGGCTTGGAAGAGACCCTAAAGATCATCTAGTTACCATCCCGCTGCCACAGGCAGGGATGACTCCCACTAGATCAGGTTGCTCAAAGCCTCATAAAACCTGGCCTTCAACTCTTCCACAGAGCAGGCATCCACAAATTTCCTGGGTAACCTGTTCCAGTGTCTCACCACCCTCATTGTAAAATCTTTCTTCCTTATATCTACCTTCTTTCAGTTTGAAAACTTTACCTCTCATCCTACCATGATAAGCCCTTGTAAAAAGCTCCTCCCCAGCTTTTTTGTAGGCTCCCTTCACATACTGTAAGGCTGCAATAAGGTCTCCCCAGAGCCTTCTCTTCTCCAGGCTTAACAACCCCAGCTCTCTCAGCCTGTACTCATAGGAGAGGTGTTCCAGCCCTCTGGTCATCTTCATGGCCCTCCTATATATGTTTCAATAATACAGAGGTTAATGACAGCAAAAGTCGTGGAAAGTTTAACTGAAACATTTGGTTCATTGTTTTTCAGAGGTAGTTTGTTATTAATTTCAAAATTTCCAATTCATTGTTCATTATACAACCCACAGTTTTTACTTCATCTAGATAGATACCAGGTGACAAGTATTTGTATCTATCTTTGGACTGCCAAAGAAACTTTGAAGGCCTATGAAAATGGAAGTTCAACTTGCTGCAAAACGTATGGTGCCTCCAAAACCCATAGCTCCCTAACTTCTAATTAACTGCTCTGTCTGAGTTAGCAGCGTTTTCATAAACTATCTGGCTTTAGCAGTGATAAGACTTCATGTTTAGAGTTACTGCCAGGGGTTGGTGTGCAGACCAAGGCCACTGCTGAGCCTGGATCCCACACGGAGGGGGGCAGAGAGCACCCCGCACCTGCGGGGAGGAGTGGACAGAATAACTGACCCGCAGATTCACCCGTGGGGCGACGCCAAGGGCCAGGCTCTGAGGAGGACTCCAACCATTCTACCTTCGAACCTGATCCATGTGTTCCTGAATCCAGCTCCTGAAACCACCTCCTGAATCTGATTCCTGTCTGCTGCTCAGTCCAGTCTGGGACTTCCCCAGGGCCTGCTCCACAGCATCAGTGGTGATGGTGACACAGGTGCCATCAAGGGAGGTTGGGTTCAATATTGGTTTTGTATATATTCCATTTTATTATTTTCATTAAAGCTGTTGTAGTTCTCATTTTGAATCTGTAAGTTGCTCTCCCTTATTCCCTTTCTCTTGCCCTTTTGAGGGTGGGGGAGAGGGTTAACAGAGAGCGTCTGCTACAGTTCTGGAGGCAGCCCTGACCCTAAACCACGGCACTGACTAATTTGCCTTTTTTCCCCTCTTGGAGAGGGCCTCAGTATGTTATTGTCTCAAAGATAGCAATGAATATAAAGTAGGATTTCCTTTCTTTTCATTTGGTACATACACATTTCACTCCCTCCTCTTCCCAGCAGAATCCTATCCAAGCATGCTATGCCAAACATGGAGGCCAAGAGAATGCTATCCAATAGATTGTATCAGTCACTTACCTCCTTTCACTTTCACTGGCAATTCCATTTTTTCATTCGTGTTGCTTACTTTGCAAGTCAAGTCCTGAACACCAATGCTCCGAGTATTGTAGATTTCCAGTTTACTGGTGACAGACACCATCCCATTGGTGTGCTTGACCAACTCCTGTGTAGGAGTAGAATTGAACAAGTTGTTCCAGGTGATGGTGGGCTCTGGGAAGCCAACAGCATTACAGATGGCTATCAGATGACCTTCAGAAACGTTGTAATGGACAGATGCGTTGAGACCTTCCAACACACAAATGAGACAATCCATCACCACAATGGGCATTTGGTCATAAGCAGTAATAGCATTTTAACCATTAGCAATCAGAGCAAAGCTTACTGGATTCACATTGAGCCCCATGGCATAAGAATACAAGAAGGCTTGGGTCTGACCCCTCCCTCCAACCCCTCCCACAATTTCATATTCTCTCTCTTATGCTAAAGTTATACACCCCAAAGGTTTCACTCAACCTGAAAACCCAGGTTTTCAAATAACCTGTTAAAGTAAAACCTTTTCTTGGTCCCTGGACTCAGTTCTTGAGTCCACTCAAGGAAATGCTATGAGTGAGAAAACACCTCTTTTTCCACTAGAGATATATCCCTGCAAAGAACCTCACCAAAGACACTCAGGCAGGTACGTCCCGACACGGAGCCAAAAGGGTAGGTATTGAAGAGACACGTGTAACACCCTGCATCATCTATTCTAGTGTTCCAAAAAGTGATGCTCGTGTCATTGAGTACCAGACTCGTGAAATTCATTCGGTCTTGATAAGGCTCATGAATCTTTAATCCTTTTATGGTACTGTAGGTAGCTATATTATCATGTGACTTTCCAGAGTCCTTTTGCCAGGTCACTTGCAGAACTTCCACGGGTGTTGTCAGGGTACAGCCGAGAGTCACACTGTTGCCAGCCTTCACACTTCTGTGTTCAGCCTGCGGAACCACTGCAAGCACATGAAAGAGTGAAATGAGGAGACAGCACACCTATTCCAAAGACTATTGGCGATTCTAAGGCCTGGCTTACCACAGACACAACAATTCCATCAATTACTTATTGTTTCTATAGTTCTCCCCCCCCCCCAAGAAGTCCTTCTCCAGGATCCTCCTAGAAATCAATGAAGTTATGTCGGTATACATTGACCAAGGCTCTAGCTTGCTTCTACACTGTTTAAAAGAAAAAGACATAGCCTATTTCTGTACCCATCCCTGGAGGCTTTCCACTTTCATTAAATCATATCATGGCTTCCCATTCTCAGCAAAGATTCAGTTTTTGTTTCCTAAAAGCTAGAGGAAGACTGGATGCACAAGGGAAGTGCACACCAGGCCATTCTCAGAGAACTGACCAGTAAAAGAGGCTAAAGAGAATTTCTGGACTATGTAGCTTCAGAGGTTGCAGGGCATTTGAGAGGGAGGGAAAGCAAGTGAGATTTGTTCCCGAGTGGAAGGTCTGCTATAAGAAGTTGTGAACTCAGGTGAACAACCATGTCCAGTGTCACTGTAGATATGAGATGCTGCATGTCCTGCTCATCTCCAAAATCCAGGGGGATTTGTCAATCCAGGAGGTCTTGTGTCACATCTGCCAGCTCCATGTCTATGTATCAGCTATCCAACATATGTCAAATGGCACCAGCAATCTGTATTTCACTTATTTTTGCCTCTTAGGCTGACTGTTGAAGCCTCAGGAATCACAAACCAGTTCCCCAATCATTTTCAGGCAGAATTCATGAAATTCAACTTACCCTTTGTCCTTCCAAGTCCAACACAAGCCAGATACAAAACCAGAGACCGGAAAGTCATTTTGGAAGGGGAAATATGCTTCACCTGAAGAAAAATAAAGAGAGATGGATGATTCAATGACAGATCATCTTCTGGCGATATCACATCTCCAGGATGTAAACGTTAACGGTAGCTTTGTCATGTGAGAAAAACATCGATCTGGGGGCAGATAAGTTTTGGCAGATCTCATTATACAACACAGAACGCTCTGGTCAAAGAGGGGGAAAACTCTGCACAACTGAAGTTAGAAAAGCGTGATGTTTGTGTAGTCCAGGACTAGCTAAGGCACTGGGGGAGAAGCAGGGCTAGCTTGTGATACCAAAGGTTAAATTGAAAGCAATTTCCCTGAGGACTTCAGGACTCCCCATCTGCCCCTTGAAATGGGGAACTTTTGGGGCATACTGCACCTGCTGCATACAAATATATTTCCAAAGTGGTAAAGGGGCAAAAAATAAGGTTGTGTTGCTGCTTTCCCTATAGAACAGCTTTTGGCCCACTTCCTGTTCCCCCAGTCAGTTAATACTGGTACCATATGACTGTAAACCTTCCAGGAACCGAAGCCGGTGTCGTTGTCCCGGCTCGGCAGGGCCAGGGT